CTTTACAGACTTCCTCGTCAGCTGAGACAAAGGGAGGGCAATCTTCGAGAACCCCTTGATAAATCTGCGATAATAACCTGCAAGGCCGAGGAAACTACGAACCTCGGACGGATTCTTCGGTGCTGACCAATTCTGGACTGCGGCAATTTTGGAAGGATCAACTTCAAATACCTGCTGAAGTAATAATGTGACCAAGAAAAGCCACTCGTTGAAGCCAAAATTCGCACTTGGAGAACTTTGCATATAACTTCTCGCGTCTAAGGGTCGAAAGAACGGCCCTCAGGTGCTCCTCGTGCTCCTTCTGGCTCTTGGAATAAATAAGAATATCATCGATGAATACAATAACGAACTGGTCGAGAAAAGGATGAAATACACGGTTCATAGTGTCCATGAATACTGCCGGGGCATTACTGAGGCCAAACGGCATAACCACAAACTCGAAGTGACCGTATCTGGTACGAAAAGCTGTCTTGGGTATATCTGACTCCTTGATTTTCAGCTGATGGTAGCCTGAACGCAAATCAATCTTGGAAAATACGCATGCACCCCTCAACTGATCAAATAAATCATCGATTCTGGGAAGCGGATATTTATTCTTGATCGTCAACCGGTTAAGATCTCTGTAGTCAATACACATACGCATGGATCCGTCCTTCTTCTTGACAAAAAGGACTGGTGCTCCCCAAGGAGAAATGCTCGGTCGTATAAAACCGAGATTCAGCAACTCTTGAATTTGGGTCTTTAATTCATGCAATTTTTTAGGTGCCATTCTGTACGGTGCCTTTGAAACGGGTCTGGCTCCAGGGATAAGATCAATAGAAAATTCCACCTGTCGGCTAGGTGGACCTCCGGGAAGCTGGTCTGGAAACACGTCCACGAACTCACGAACGATAGGAATGTCATGAGGTGAACGTGCCTTTGGCTCATCTCCAATGAGGCTTACAAGATAACCCTGACAATCACCCCGTCGAAGAATCTTTCTGGATTTCGCCATAGAAATAACATGTGGCAGAGTACGAGTCCTGGAGCCGTAATAAGTGAACTGATCATCTCCCGGAAGATAAAGAGTAATCTCCCGGTCGTGACATCGGATATCTGCGTGGAAATGAGTTAGCCAATCCATACCGAGTATGAGGTCAAAATCCCTCATCTCGATAACATAAGCATCAGTAATCAGAATACGGCTGCTGATGGAAAGGCTGAGATCGGTGGCTCTAGCGTCAGTCACTATCTTTCTTCCCGAGGCTAAACTCACCTCGAGAGGATCGACAACAGTAGTGGAACGAACCCCAATAGCTTCAAGACATCGACGTGATATAAAAGAATGGGTCGCTCCGGTATCAAATAAGGCATAGACAGGCACATCATTAAGAATAATCATCCCGGACATGGTACCTGGGTGTTGGTCGGCCTCCCTCTGGTAAACTGCAAAGACACGGGCTTGCTGTCTGC